AGGGCTGTTTGGATGTGGTCCGTGATTCTCTCTGGTACCTCTTGCAGGTGATAACACAGATACATGTACTGAGCCACATTGTCACACCTCAGTGTAACAGAAAGGCCGGGACATCTCCCAGTTAGTTCAAATGAAACACAAACAATAGAAACAGGAACAATAAGATAGTAACATGAGAAAAGTTTGGAAGTCTCCTGCTCTCTCAGCCTCTGGACTCCTGCACAATAGACAGGCCTAAATTAGAAACTTGATACAAACCTGGATCAGAACTTCCGTTAGCTAACATTCAATACTGATTTCATGTTACACACATTTGCAGCCATTAGAAAGGATGATTTCAGCAAAAACAACACTTCTATTTCCTCCTTATCTGCACAGTTCGGAGCAGCATTTCCCAAATCAGAGGATGAACTAGGAGATATTTTCAGGAGTAACCTCCTGTAGAGCCTGGGTCACAACCCGCTGAGAACCAAATACATGCGCATTTTGCCTACTTTCAAGTTATTTACTATGGAACTCTCTCCCCAGATCATCTGAGACCATATTGACCTAAATAGCTAAATACACCTCTATCCCGATGTAACGCTGTCCTCGGGAGCCAAAAAATCTTACTGCGTTATAGGTGAAACCGCGTTATATCGAACTTGCTTTGATCCACCGAAGTGCGCAGTCCCGCCCCCCCCCCCCCCCCCCCCCCCGGAGTGCTGCTTTACCGCGTTATATTCGAATTCATGTTATATCGGGGTCGCGTTATATCGGGGTAGAGGTGTACAGGTGTGATCATATCTGTTTACTTCAGTTAGGTACACAATTTGAGTTGTGCTGTGGTTCACAGTTTGAAAGCGGAGATTTAAAAACATTACTGTTTCTTTGATAGCATATCTAATAGCTTGGACTATTCTCTCCTATTGACTGAGCTACACTTAAAATTTCTCCATGTGATCACGAAGGGGTGGGGGGGAAAAAAACAAAAAGAAAGAAAAAAACAATTTTAGCAAATGGTTATATGTCTCCAAGTCCCCCATAATTCTGACCCACATTCTGTCAAACAAAATTAATATCCACTGATGTGACCAAATGGCCTCCAGGAAAGAGAAAAACCGACATCACAAAGAGGAATACAACACTTTCAGTTTTATATTAAGTGAAATTCCAGAGCAGTTTACATCTGATGACTCAGAATCAGGACCACAGATTCTCTCATCTCATTCTCCTCTGATCTGTTCAAACCTGCTTCACTCAGCACTCTCATGATTGAGTCACGTTATTTACGAAAGTTTTAGCATCATTGTAATAGGGAAAAAAGAGCTAACCTCCCATTTGGAAACAATCCCAACTCAGCCTTAAAAGTGGCTTTGCTAATAAATGAAAAGTGGGATTTAAACTCAGAATGATCACACTGAGTTTCAGATCAATTCAAAGTCTCCTTTAAAGTCTGTGACACTTTCATCTCCAGCTCCAGCGAGTCTGATTCAGGATCAAAGAAATCAAAGCACCATTCCCAAGCACAGAGAGTGGAGAAGATTGCATCACCTGACACTCTGCAGAACGTGAAGAAGATAAACTCCATAAGGATCAGACAGAAGGTAACACTGCTGGGATGATGGGGAAGGAGGGAATTCCTTTCACTCACTCCATTTCCTTCTGGTGTCACAGAGCCTGAAATGACATTTTCCATGCCCCTGCCCTGTGTTATATTTACATCTATTTTCAGAGAGAAAAATGGTACTAAAAATAACTGCTGGTCAGCAACCAACAGGGCAATGTGAGAACAACTGGGAAGCAGAAAAATTTTCCCCCAAAGGGGAACTTTTAGTGACTCTAATGACTGCTTTGCAGTGGGAAGAAGAGTAGAAATACATGCTCCAGGTCTGTTTAGACTAGGAAAAATGATGAAGTTTAGGTCAGGTCATGAGAAAATGTGCTACATAATCCTGGACACTATATATGGGGCTGTATCTTTACTGCAAGAATAGTTGTGGTTTTACATCAGGACAGCTAACTCAAGCGAGGTAACGCCATGGAAAATCCTAGTGAAGATGAGGCCCAGGTACATTTTAACTTGATGTAGCTAGTCAAGGTCACCCATCTCTCTCCCAGCTGGGGTTGGTGGGGATTCCTGATAATAGGCACACAACTCACTGGGGAAAGCTGAGGGACCACAGTGAATCAAATGGTGCCAACAGCCTTAAAAGTCACTATGTGGGAATTAGGAAAATGATTAAAGAAAAAAAAATTGCCAGCCCTAGACAAGATTTTTATGGTGTTTATCCCCCTTGCAGATTCTCTGATGATAAATAAGGGCTGAGCGCTGATGGAAACCTTTCCTGCATTCAGAGCATCTATAAGGTCTCTCTTCTGTGTGGATCCTCTGATGTCTAATAAGGGCCGAGCTCACACTGAAGTTTTTCCCGCACTCGCAGCATTCATAGGGTCTCTCGTTAGTGTGCATTCTCTGATGTTTCGTAAAGGCTGAGCCATCAATGAAGTTTTTCCCACACTCAAAGCATTCATAAGGTCTCTCTCCTGTGTGAATTCTCTGATGATTAGTAAGGGCTGAACTGTCAGCAAAATTTTTGCCGCACTCACAGCATTTATAGGGTCTCTCTCCCGTGTGGATTCTCTGATGTCGAATGCGGTGTGAGCTCTGCCTGAAGGTTTTCCCGCACTCACAGCATTCATAGGGTCTCTCTCCCGTGTGCATTCTCTGATGTGTAATAAGATCTGAGCGGTAACTGAAGCTTTTCCCACACTCACTGCATTCATAGGGTCTTTCTCCCATGTGGATTTTCTGATGATTAATAAGGGCTGATCTGTCACCAAAGTTTTTTTCGCACTCACAGCATTCATAGGGTCTCTCTCCTGTGTGGATTTTCTGATGTCTAATAAGATCTGAGCGGTAACTGAAGTTTTTCCCGCACTCACTGCATTCATAAGGTCTTTCCCCAGTGTGGATTATCTGATGTCTTATAAGGTCTGAGCGGTTACTGAAGGTTTTCCTGCACTCACTGCATTC